ACTCCTGGACACTATGGGAAATTTAGCACAGCCAATTCACCTAACCTGCACTGTGGGAGGAAATGAGAGCACCTGAAGGAAAACCACGCAGAGATGGGGAGAATGTGCAAACTCCACACAGACAGTCGCCTGAGGCTGGAATTGAACCCGGGTCCCTTGAACTGTGAGGCAGCAGTGTTAATCACTGAGCTATCGTACCACCCGGCTCTTGTACGTATTGTGTTTACATGGCAAGTTCAGCTCAGTTTCTGGTCAATTGTAACCCTCAGGATGTTGACAGTGGGGAATTTAGTGATGTTAATGCCTTTGAATAGCAAGGGACAGTGATTAGATTGTCTCCAATAAGAGACAGTCATGCCTGGCATTTGTGTGGCATGAATGCTCCTTGCCAAGCCAGGATATTGTCCATGTCTTGTTGTATTTGAATATGGACTGCTCCAGTATCTGAACTCGTGAATAGCGCTGAACATTGGGCAATCATTGGCAAACATCTCCACTTCTGATTTTATGATGGAGAGAAGATCACTGATAAAGTAGCTGAAGATGGTACTTTGAGGAACTCCTGCAGAGATGTCCTGGAGCTGAGATGATGGACCTCTAACAACTACAACCATCTTCCTATGTGCCAGACATGACTCCAACCAGCAGAGATTTTGCCCTGATTCCCATTGATTTCAGTTTTGCTACAGCTCCTTGACACCACACTTGGCCAAATGCAGCTTTGATTTGAAGGGCTGCCATTCTCACCTCACCTCTGGTATCATATTTGAACCAAGACTGTAATGACGTCAGAAGCTGAGTGGCCCCAGGGGAACCCAAACTGGGGCAGCTGTGAGCAAGTTTTTGCTGAGCAGGTGCAGCTTGATAGCACTGTTGATGATACTTTTCATTACTTTACTGATGGTCAAGAGAGGACTGATGCGATAATTGGCCAGGCTAGATTTGCCCTGCTTTTTGTGTACAGGGTACACCCAAGCAATTTTCCACATTTCTGAGTGGCTGACAGTCTTGTAGCTGTACCAGAACAGCTTGGTTAGGGGTGAGGCAAGTTCTGGAGCACAAGTCTTCAGTACTATTGCTGGAAAATGTCAGGGCCCATCATGTTTGCAGTATGCAGTGTCTCCAACCATTTCTTGATATCAGTGGAGTGAACTGAATTGGCTGAAGACTGGCAACAGGTGATGCTAGGGACGACCAGAAGAGGCAGAGATAGATCATCCACTGGGCACTTCTGGCTGAAGACTGCTGTGAATGCTTCAGCCTTATCTTTTGCACTGATATGCTGGAGTCTTCCATCAGTAAGGATGGGGATATTTGGGGGAGCCTCCTCCTCCAGTGAGTTGTTTATTTATCCACCATCATTTACGACTGGATGTGACAAGATTGCAGAGCTTAGATCTGATCCATTGTTTGTGGGATTGTTAACTCTGGCTATCACTTGCTGCTTATACGGTTTGACATGCAAGTAGTCCTGTTTGGAAGCTTGACTAGGTTGAGATCTAATTTTTAGGTATGCCTGGTGCTGCTCCTGACATGCCCTTTAACACTCTCCACTGAACCAAGGATGTGCCCCTGGCATGATGGCAATGGTTGAACAGAAGATATGCCAAGCCATGAGGCTGCAGATTGTGTTGAAGTATGGTTCTGCTGCTGTTGATGGCTCACAGCACCTCATGGATATTCAGTCATGAGTTGATTGATCTATTCAAAGTCTGTCCCATTTAGCACAGTGATAGGTGCCACACAACACGATGGAGGGTATCCTCAAAGTGAAGGCGGTACTTTGTGCCTACAAGGACTGTGCGGTGGTCACTTTTGCTGATACTGTCATGGACAGATGTATCTGCAACAGGTAGATTGGTGAGAATGACGTACAAGTAGTTTTCTCCCCCTTGTTTGTTCCCTTGCCACCTGCCGCAGACCCAGTCCAGCAGCTATGTTCTTTAGGACCTGACCAGCTCGATCAGTAGTGCTGCTACCGAATGACTCTTGGTGATGGGCATCCTTGCCACCCTCAGTGCTTCCTCCAAATGTTGTTCAACATGGAGATATACACTGCTTGGTCAGATGAGGTACATGGCATTCAGCAGGAGGTTTCCTTACCCATGTTTGACATGAAGCCATGAGACGTCAAGGGGTCCGCAGTCAATGTTGAGGACTTCCAGGGCAACTCCCTCTTGACTGTATACCATTGTGCTGCTACGTCTACTGGGTCTGTCTTGCTGGAAGGACAGGAGATATCCAGGGATGGTGATGGTGGTGCCTGGGATATATTTTTAAGGTATGATTCTGTGAAAATGACTTATCTCAGGCTGTTGCTTGACTAGTCTGTGAGACAACATTACCCTCCAGCTGTTAGTAAGGAGGACTTTGCAGGGTTGACAGGGCTGTTTTCTCATTATCGTTTCCTGTGCCTAGGTTGATGCCAGGTGGTCCATCCAGTTTCATTTCTTTGTTTAGACTTCATAGCAATTAATACAACTGAGTGGTTTACTAGGCCATTTCAGAGGGCAGTTGAGAGTCAACCACATTGCCATGGGTCTGGAGTTACAATTTGGCCAGACTTGGTGAGGATGGCTGATTTTCTTCCCTGAAGGATATTAGTGAACCAGATTGGTTTTTCCAATAATTGGCAGTGGTTTCATGGTGATCATTAAATTCTTAATTGCAGATATTTTATTGAATTTGAATTCCGACATCTGGCAGGTCCACAGAACAACAGCTGAGTTTCTGGCTCAATAATCTAGTGATAGTGACTGCTAAACCATCACCTCCCCATATAGGTAGTGGTCACAGTTTGGAAGATGTTGTTTAAGGAGCCTTGGTGGATTTCTGCAGTGCATCTTATAGATGATACACCTTGCTGCTAATAACAGTCAGTGGTGGAAGCACTGAATGCTTATGGATGTAGTGCCAAACAAGTGGGCTGCTTTGTCCTGGATGGTGCAAGCTTCTTGTTAGGTGTTGTTTGGAGCTGCAGTTATCCAGGCAAGTGGGGAGTATTCCATCACCCTCCTGACTTGTGCCCTGTATACGGATGAATGGGCTTTGTGAAATCAGGAGGTGAGTTACTCTTTGCAGAATATCTAGCCTCTGACCTGCTCTTTTGTAGCCACTGCATTTACATTGCCAGTCCAGTTCAGCTTCTGGTCAACAGTAACACACAGGATGCTGATGGTGAGGGAACTAGTGGCAACATGAAAGAAAAAAAAAGTATGAATTGAGTTATTATGATCTGGAATGCACTGTCTCAAAGGATGATAGAAGCAAAGTCAAAAATAAATTTCAAAAGGAAATTAACCAAAAGGGAGAACATTTGGAGAATGCAGAGTACTGGAATTAATTGGGACAGCTTTTCAAGGAGCTGGCTCAGGCATGCTGGGCTGAAAGATCTCCCGTGCTCTATCATTCTATCTGATCTATGAAACAGAAACAACTGAACTTGATTTATTTTGTCACTGCTCAAGCTGTAAACAAAGTACAAATCTCTGAAAGGTCTACCAACATGAAAATTTTCCAAACTCAAGTGTTACCTAACTGCAATTTTTACTGAAGAAGTAAAGATGTAATTGTATACTTGAAGTTATAAACAATGGATTTACCTTAAAGCACTAAAGAGTGAAGTCCGTGAAGTTTGTGATAGTGATTCTGAATACCCAGCACTATGCATGCTATTTTCCATTTGCTGCAAGTACTGATGAAACCTACGTACATTTTTCATGTGTTCCTCATGGCGGGAAGTTTGGACATCTGTGTTGACTGATCTACTAAGATGTTGGAAACAGCATAAAAGTTATAATTAGCATTAGCCCCTATCTGATTATTGAAAGTTTAATATGAAAGACATCTCTGTCCATGGCTCAACCATGTTCATTGTTTTAGCTCTTGTCAAAGATGTTCACTATTTAATCTCTTACACAGCATGTCAATAATTTCTAGTCAGTCACAGCACAAAAGGCACCAACACTCTTTTTTCCAAATTAACAGTTTTCATTTTCATTATGCAATATTACAATTTTAGTGCAAACGCATACCTGTCACTTGCTGACAAAGCATCAGAATTCAGAGATGTGATAAGCTGTTCTGAATATTTGGAGATGTGACTGGGGAAAGAGTTGTATGTGCCACTGGTCTTATATAATGATTCAAGGGTAGGAGTCTGTAACATTAAAGTCACATTATTATATTTAATACACTAAAAATTAACACTTTAGAAAAACATAGAAAATAGGACTAGGAAAAGGCCATTTGGCCCTTCTAGCCTACTCAGCCATTCATTATGACTGTGGCTGATCATCCAACTCAAGCCTGTTCTTGCTTTTTCCCCACATCCTATGATCCTTTTAGCCCCAAGTGCTATACCCAACTCTTCCTGAAACCATACGATATTTTGGCCTTGACTGCTTTCTGAAGTAGCGAATTCCACAAGCTCACCACTCTCTGAGTGAATAAATTTATCATCTCAATCCTAAATTATTTCCCCTGTATCCTAAGACTGTGATCCCTGGTTCTGGATTCCTTCACCATCAGGAACATACTTCCTGCAACTACCCTGTTCAATCCTGTTAGAATTTTATAAGTTTCTATGAGATCCCCTCTCATTCTTCTGAATTCTAGCGAACGTAATACTAAATGATTTAACTTCTCATACGTTAGTTCAGTCATCCTAAGAATCAGTCTGGTAAACCTTTAGTGCTGTCCCTATATAGCAAGAACATCCTTCCTCAGCGAAGGAGACCAAAAGCGTACATAATACTCCAGGTGTGGTTTCACCTAGGCCCTGTATAATTGCAGCTAGACATCCCTGCTCCTGATTTGAAACACTCTCACCATGAAGGCCAATATACAATTTGCCTTCATTACCACGTACCGCACCTGCATGTTTAACTTCAGCAACCAGTGTATAAGAATATCCGTGTCTTGTTGCACATTCTCCTCCTTTAATTTATAGCCATTCAGATAATAATTTGCCTTCCTGTTTTTGCTATCAAAGTGGATAACTTCACATTTATCCATGTTATACGGCATCTGTCATGCATTTACCCAATTACTCAGCTCGCCCAATCACACCTAAACATCGCTGCATCCTCCTCTCAGTTCACCATCCCACCCAGCTTTCTGTCATCTGAAAATTTGGAGATATTACATTAAATTCCCTCATCTAAATAGTTAATATATTGTGTGAATAGCTGGATGCTAACACTAATTCCTTTGGTTCCATACTAGTCACTGCCATTCAGAAAAAGACCCGTTTATTCCTACTCTTTGCTTTCTGTCAAGCAACCGTTTATCTATCCATCTCGATACGCTATCCCGCATACAATACACTTAATTTTACAATAATCTCTTGTATGGGCCGATGATGTGAAGGTGCCGGTGTTGGACTGGGGTGGACTGAGTCAAAAATCACATGACACCAGGTTACAGTCCAACGGCTTTATGTGAAATCACAAGCTATCAGAGTGCTGCTCTTTTGTCAGGTGCAGTGAGAGGAGGGGCACACCGACACACCATTTACAGGCAGAGAGATCAAAGGATCATACAACTGTTGCTGGTAGAGTGAACAAACATAAAACGGCTGATGGAGAAAGGAGACGCAAGTTTCGATTGATTAAGATGCATTTTTCAAAAATCTATTTAAACACCACTTGAAGGAAGCACTGAGGGTGGACAGTGCAAAATGTGCTCAGGGTGAGGGATTTGAATGTCAACAACCAATATTAACCAATAGTGCTTCAGCAGCAGCACTACGAATCGAGGTCAGGTCCTAAAGGACATAACTGCTAGACTGGGTCTGTGGCAGGTGGTGAGGGAAATACATAGGTGACCAATCTGCCAGCTGCAGATACATCTGTCCATGACAGTATCTGTAAGAGTAATCATCACATAGCCCTTGTGGAAACAAAGTACCACCTTCACATTGGGAACACTCTCTATAACGTCGTGTGGCACAATCTCGGTGTTGAATGGGATACACTTCAAACAGAGCTAGAAAGTCAAGACTGGACGTCCGTGAGATGCTGTGGGTCAGCAAAAGCAGCAGAATTGTACTCCAGCACAATCTGCAACCTCATAGCCCAGCATATCCCCCATTCGACCATTACCAACAAGCCAGGGGAACAACTTTGGTTCAATGGGGAATGTAGGAGGTCATGCCAGGAGAAGCACGAGGCATAACTAAAAATGAGGTGTCAACTTGGTGAAGCTACCACACACGACTACTTGCATGCCAAGCGCCATAAGCAGCAAGTGAAGACAGAGCTAAATGATCCCATAACCAACGGATGAGATCTAAGCTCTGCAGTTCTGCCATGTCAGTCATGAATGGTGGTGGACAATTAAACAACTCACTGGAGGAGGAGGCTCCACAAATATCCCCATCCTCAATGATGGAAGAGACAACACATCAGTACAAAAGATAAGGCTGAAGCTGTTGCAGCAAAATTCAGCCAGAGACGCCAAGTGGTTGATCCATCTCGGCCTCCTCCGAGTGGTCCCCAGCATCAGAGACACCAGCGTCCAGTTAATTCAATTCACTCCACTTGATATCAAGAAATGGTTGGGCGCACTGGATACTGGGCCCTGACAACATTCCAGCAATAGTACTGAAGACCTGTGTTCCAGAGCTTGCCACTCTCCAAGCCAAGCCGTCTCAGTACAGTTACAACACTGGCATCTACCCAAAAATGTGGAAAATTGCCCAGGTATATCCTGTACAGAAAAAGCAGGCAAATCCAACCCAGCCAATTACCACCCCATCAGTCTACTCTCGATCCTCAGTAAAGTGATGGAAGGTGTCATCGACAGTGCTATCAAGCAGCACCTGCTCAGTGACGCAGTTTGGGTTCCAACAGTAATTGCCGACCTAACCAGCAACACCCACATCCCATGAATGAATTTTTAAAAAAAAATAATGACTTGCATTGACGGAAGGTACTTTAATTTAGTGTATTTAGTAAAATAGATTGAAATAGTGTATACACAACCATCAACTTGGAATACCCTCAAGAGGTCCACAAGATTACTACTGTACCAGTTCATACAAAATTTTAACATTTGCAAGTACTATAAATTGACAAAGAAGTGTGCTGGAAAGTGTCATGAACACTGCTATCATGCAGCATTTGGACAGCAATAACCTGTTCACTCATACTTCATTTGGGTTCCACACAGTTCCTGATTCATTAGTCTTGGTTTAAACATGGACAAAAAGAGTTATACTAAAGAGATGTGGTGAGAATGACTACCCTTGACATCAAGGCAAATTTGACTGAATACAGCATCAAGCAGCCCTAGCAAAACTACAGTCAAAAGGAATCGGAGGGAAATCTCTGCTGGTTGTAGTCATACCTGGCACAACACAGGCACAGAAGTAGGACAATCACCCTCTTGAGTCTGTCCTGTCATTCAAGAGATCATGGCTGATCTGAGGCCTAACTCTAAAATTATCTCAGGTTTAAAATTAAAATCTGATCTAGGATTAACTGCCATTCGTGGAAGAGAAATCCAAATCTCTATCATCCTTTCTGTGTAGGAGTGCTTCCCAACATCTCTCCAAGACTTTTAGACAATGCCCCCTAGTTCTGGAATCTCCAGGATTCCAAGATTGTGGTTGTTGTACGTCAATCATCTTAGCTCCAGGCCGTCTATGCAGGAGTTCCTCAAGGTAGTGCCTGATGCTCAACCATTGTCAGCTGATTTATCAATGGCCTGTGCTCCATTTGCTGATGATTGCACTATGTTCAGCACCATTCTCAATTCTTCAGATACTTAAGCAATCCGATCCCAAATGCAGCCATACCTGGACAAAATCCAGGTTTGGGCTGACAAATGGCAAGTAACATTCATGTCACACAGTGCATGGCAATGACATCTTCAATAATATAGAATGTAACCATTGCACCTTGGCATTCAATAGCATTACTATCACTGAATTCCACACTATCAACATTAACTAGAAACTGAACTAAGCGAGCCATTACTCAAGAACAGGTTAGAGGTGAGGAATTTTGCAGTGAGTAACTCACCTCCTAACACTGAAAATCCTGCCCAACATCTACAACGCAAAAATCAAAAGTGTGATGAAATGCTTTCCACCTGCCTGGATGAATACAATTCTAACAACACTCTAGAAGCTTGACACCATCCAGGACAAAGTAGTCTGCTTGACTGGCGTCACATCCAGGCACGCGAAGTCCCTACACTATCGATGATCAGAAGCAGCAGTGTGTACCATCTACAAGATGCACTGCAGAAATTTACTAAGGCTCCTTAGATTGTTCCTTCCAAACCCATGACAACTTCCATCTGCAAGGACAAGGGCAGCAAATACAACATCACCTACAAGTTCCCCTCCAAACCATTCAACTATCCTGATTTAGAACTATATCATTGTTGTCGGCTCAAAATCTGGAACTCCCTTCCCAACAGCATTGTGGGTCTACCTATATCAAATTGACTGCAGTGGTTTGTGAAGGCAGTTCACCACCACGTTCTCAAGATCAACTTGGGATGGACTATAAATTCTGGTCCAGCCAGTGATGTCTATATCCCTTGAACTAAGCAAAAAAAATCTGAATATTAAGAGTTCATTCAAGTTCAGCAAATAACCCAAAATAAAAGTGAAATACTGGTCTTAACAAGATGACATGAATGATATGTTGCACTGTTCCAGCAAGGGAGAACCAAATAAACCCATTATAGTTATACTACAAATATATGCATAATATTGAAACTAATAAGGTTTAAGCAGTCAAATGGCAAAAAAAAATCATAATTAGGAAAGCAAATCATCTAAAGAATGGAGAAAAAGGCCCTAACTAGATGGCTTTATTTCAAAGAAGGACATTAGTCATAGGCATCATTCATTTTAGAGAGGAAAAACACAAATGTTACTTCATTTCCTTTGGAAAAAAATGTAGAAATGGGCTGTTCAGAATGTAACCCTTTCTCCCACATCTGGCTGTAGAACCATTAAAACATCCTTTTGCCCTAGAACAATTTTACCACAAACAGCCTACCAGTTAACTTTCACACACATCATGTACTGGTGATAATGCAGAATACAGAAATTGGCAAAGCAGGGTTTATGCTTCCTGCAATCCTGTGTGATTCACCAAGGAACAAGGTCTTTAAATTAATTATTATTGAAAAATCGGTCAAACTAGATGGATCAGATACTGAACAAAAATAGAACGCTCACAAAACCTGAATACCCTTTTGGGGCTACCTGCAACATTCTCAAACATATCTGACATAGAGATGGAATTCTGACCACATTCCAGAAGACATAGGTACAGGAGTAGGCTGTTTGGCCCCTCCAGCCTGTTCCACCATTCAATAGGATCATGATTGATCTAAAATTCTTCATGCTCACTTTCTGCCTTTTCCCCAAAACCCTTAACTCCTCTACCGACCAAGAATCTATCTCGGCCTTAAATATATACAAGGACTCTGCCCCCACTGCAAGGAGATCAAAAGACTCACAACCCTGAGAGAAGCATTTCCTTTTTATCTTAGTATTAAATTGTTCTCTGAGCCTAGACTCTCCCATGTGGGGAAACATCTTCTCAACGTTTACTTGTCAAACCTCTTATCCCATTCCCTGCCTGTCTGTTTTAACTGCTGTAACAATGCCCAACTTTATCCTCATCACATCTCATCTGCTATTGTATCCCTCATGCATTTTTACCGTTATACATTCATTGTAATGTTTTTCTGGCTAGTCTCTTATAGTGGGTCGGTTAGCTCAGTTGGCTGGACGGCTGGTTTGCAATGCAGGTTCAATTCCTGTAACGTCTGAGGTGTTCAGGAAGGTCCCTTCTTCTCAACCTTTCGCCTCACCCGAGGTGTGGTGAGTATCAACCACCAACAGTCATCTCTCTCTAATGAGAGAGCATACCTATGGTCCTTGGGAACTATGGCAACAACTACTGCTCCTAGTCTGTTGCATGTTACTCTCTATAAATGCAAGGTCATTTGCTCCTTGTGCCCTTACTCAGGCCAGGACTTGTTCACCCATCACCATAGTATCATAGAATCTCTACATTATGGAAACAGGCCATCTGGCCCAACAGGTCCGCACCAACTCTTCGAGGGGCATCCCATTCAGACTCACCCTCCTGCCCTATCCCCGTAACCCTGCATTTCTCATAGCTAAACCACCTAACCTACACATCCCTGGACACTATTGGCAATCTAGGATGGTCAATCCACCTAACCTGCACATCTTTGGACCGTGGGAGGAAACTGGAGCACCCAGAGGAAACCACACAGACATGGGGACAATGTGCAAACTCCATACAGACAGTCACCTGAGCTGGAATTGAACCCAGGTCTCTGGCGTTGTGAGGCAGCAGTGTTAACCACTGAACCACCATACCGGCCCAGTGCTTGCTAACTAACATAGTCTTCAGTCAAACAATGACTCAATTTTAATACTCTCATAATTGTTTGCAAGTTCTTCCATGCATCTGTCCTCCAGTATATCTATACTCAATCATGTCTGCCCTCTTGAGCATCCCTGATTTTAACTGCTGCACCACTGGTGACTGTGCCTTTAGTTACACATAATCACAGAAGTGTTACAGCGTAGAAGGAGGCCATTTAGCCCATCATGTCTGCACCAGATCTTCAAATGAGCATTATTACCTGGTACCAATTTCCTGTTTCCCCATAACCTTGCACATCATTTTTATCCAACTAGTCCACCAATGACCTCTTACAGTTGCCTCAGCTCCAACCTCTGAAATTTCCTCCACTTCTCTATCTTTCTTTTCTGACAATCATTGAAGCTTTTCTGTCAAAATTTTAGCCACTTTTAGTCTAATATCTCTTTATGTAGGTCAGTCTCAAATTTTGATTTATAATGTACCTGTGAAGTGCCTTGGTTGTTTTATTACATGAAAGGTGGCGTATAAACACAAGTTGTTGGAGATGACTCTTGAGGATATCTCCAAACGGTCTATGACATTTAAGAATCTCAGCAGTGACTCTTGAAAACTGAAATTTATTTTTAGCAGTTCAACTGAATATGTTTTTAAAAGAACTTCGCTGACAAAAGAAAAATCAGTTGATTCTGCATCTAGACTTTCAAAATGGTTTGACCAAGTACCACATCAAAGCCTGCTTAGCAAGGTTGCATTTTGCTAGACAGTTATTAGGCTGAGTGATTACTGCCTTTGGATATTTATTAAGGGCAGCTGTCATGCTTGTTGCTAGCCAATAGAGAAAATCCACAGGAATCAGTAGGCGTTATTTTCTTCACTACTTTATGTTAGGATGTGCAGCAAACAGGAAAGCGTTCAAATGGTATGTTGGCCTTCATATCATGAGGATTTGGTAACAGGGATGTCTTGCTGCAATTCTGCAGGGGCTGAGTGAGAGCACACCTGGAAAACTGTGTACAGTTTTGGTCTCCTTATCTGATGAAGGATGTTCATGCTATAATGGGCATGCAGTGAAAGATTACCATGATTCCTGGGATAGCAGGACTGATGTATGAGGAGAAGTTAAATTGTTTAGAATTATATTCACTGGAGTTCAAAGAATGAAGGGGGATCTCATAGAACTCTATAAAATTTTAACAGGGTGGATGCAGGAAGGATATTCCTGATAGCAGGGGAGTCCAGAACCAGGGGTCACAGACTAACGATATGGAGTAAACCTTTTAGGACTGAGAGGAGGAGAAATTTTGTTCCCAGAGAGGGGTGAGTGAAATAACTCCGCAGAGACCAGCATCAGTCACTAAGTTACCCTTTATTTACATCTGGAGATTCCTTGATACTGATCCAGTGCCATGATGAGCCAGCTCTCAGAGTGAACAGAACCTTTGACACTCCTGTTATATCTGTCAGCCACGGCTCCTGACTGGACCAGATTAACAGCCCTAATCAGGGAACTCACATTCTATGAGGTCCACCTGGCTGACTTCGGTACAATCACTACAGTAAGCCTGTGAAATTTGCTACCACAGAAAGCGGTCAAGGCTGGAACATTATATGATTTCAAGAAGCAGTTGAATATAGCACCTGTGGCTAAAGGGCTGAAAAAATATTGGAAAAAAAGCAAGAACAGACTATTGGGTTGGATGATCAGCCATCAGCATAATGAATGGCTGTGCAGGCTTGAAGGGCCAAATGGCCTACTGCTGCTCCAATTTTCTATGTTAGGTTAGCTCAGGTGGCAGCATGCTTGCCTTGGAATCAGAAGGTTATAGGTTTAAAGTCCCACTCCAGAGACTGACCTCTCAATGCAATACTGAAGGATCACTGCACTGTGGATGGTGCATCTTTTAGTGAGACCAACACACGTACCGGTTGACATAAGGGAATCCATAGCACTAATTCAAAATGCTTGATATGCCACCTGTTGGACTGCTGTGTAGCCTTACAGTCATGCAACTTAGTTTTTAATCTGTACCTTCGGTATCAAAGCATTTATTTCTACCACCATATCATTTAAAAAAGTACTTACGGAACCTGCTTTTAGTTTGTGTGTTTGGGTCCATCTTTCCCCTCTCAGATGATGGATATTTTCCAAAGGGGTGATTGCTACTTTAAGTTGTCCTTGGCACTGACCACTAAAGTCAATGATATTGTACCAGCCACATATACATAGAAATCCAGATAATAAAGCAGATAGATCCACAGATGCAAACCCTATAACCCGATCAATATCTAGGACACAGAACAAAGCATTTAATAAAATATGACAATGCATTGATATGATGAGAAGAGGTCTTATGACTCTATAATTCACATTTTATAGCACTGTCACTGACCACAGAAAGAACTCTTCCTTTCTAATAATTCAAGGTGCACCACGTGTAAGTCATTTAATCTAAGACTCTCCTTTTCTCGTGAACCATTTATAAAGATATAGCTAGACAGTCCCCACTTCTCATACTACTGTTAACTAAAATTAACTTGCCTTCAACCTCATCTTTATTTTAAACATCTCATACACTAATAGCCACTTTCATGGAGTTAAGATTAACAAGGCTCTCACATTACATGAAATAAAAATTACCACAAATTAAGTTCAAGTTTTTTTCCCCCTTTCTATATTAGGTCCTTGGAATTCTACAGTTCCAGAAGCTATCAAGAATCTTTGCAAACCTTCAACCAGGATGGAACAATTTGCAGGCAAAGTGGCCACTGAGGGCACACAACAGCGCAGCCTGACCGTATTCTCACTTGATGCCCACATGTACTTTCCAACAAAGGTCACTGTACAGTGATTAGTTATGACTCATTTGCTCCTGCCTGAGCTGAGACATGTTCATGGTCAAGTGTATCATTTCAGTGCACCACTCAGCTGAGATCAACTGAGTATGATTCTGTGACTCAGGATGACTAGAAATGAACTGGGAACTCTCTCACTGTTGGGCTGTGCTGATTCCTAATTTAGCAACAGCTTTTCTTCAAGATACTTCCTTTTATTTGTTTACTAAATGGCTAATTTTTCACTTTCCCACTTTCTTTCCAGCTTATTTCAGGTTATCATCTAAAATTTACTTTAGAATGTGTGCATATATATGGCTCATTTAAGGTAATTGTGTGTAGCATTCTGCATCAACTCAGTTTTACAACATATATTACACTTCAGCATGTTCTGATTAAGTACATTAAAGATTGAAAATAAGTATTAACTTATTTATTAGTTCCTATTCTGCACCACACCTATCTGTTGCAATCTGTGTATGGATAAATTTTGTAGATTAAGTTTTAAGGAAATGAAATCTCAAACAAATAAGCAGAATCAATTACAATTTATAGCATTTACCTGCTTTATGCCACACTTTAAAAACTAGAGTTTGCTGTGGGTCCAGTAACAATTGTTTGGCCAGCCTGCAGTTACACAAATAAAAGCCACTTTAAACACGAAAATTAGTTAACAATATTTAGTTGGAAGAAATTCTTGCACATGCAGTATTGAACGTCAGACAAGCAGTGTGACAAATCAAAAGCAATGCTGGGATCAAGAAAGATGGTGGTGAGGTAGAACTGGATGCTTTAAATGGATATATGGCATTTGATATAGTTTTGGATGACTTTGCCAAGAGATAGAATGTAAATAAGAGATGAGGGGGCCAAGAATAAATCCTTCAGGCAACACTGGTGGAGTAGGATGAGAAGCCATTGCACATGATTCTCTGCTAACAACTAGATAGTTAGGAATGGAATTCTGAAAGCATTACATCAGTGACTTCATTTCTCGGCAGCTTCAGTTGAACACTACCAAACCGAGTCAGCAAAATTTCAGTTCAGTTGAAACTACTTAAAGATGGATCATAAGTAAGAACAGATTCTAGAATTGAGTAAAGATTTGAAAGGCCACAAACATTCTCAAGGCATTTAAAAAGGCAGACCCTGAAAGATCTTCTCCCTTGCCTGGGGAATTTAGATCATCATGGCATAGTCTCAGGAAAAGGAGCAAATTATTTAAGACGAGGATGAAGAGAAGTTTCTTCAAAGCATTGTGAAATATTGGAAATTTGCATCCCTGAGGATTGTAGTTGCTCCTTTGTTGAAACATACATAAAGACAGACATAATTTTTCTCCAAGGGAATCGAGTCATAAAAGGAGCAGGAAGGAAGTGGAGTTGAGTCTGAAGATCTATCATGATTGTATTGAATGGCAGGGTTGGCTCAATGTGTAGTCTCCTTGTTTTCCTATTTCTTATGTTATGATCTTATGGAACCAGGTTTTATTTTCGAGTAATAAGCCTGGTGAAACAATACAAGACTAGTCAATTCATTCTGGATGGTTTTCACAACTGCTAGTCACCTTATTTCTGTTAAAACCTGATTAAGTTACATTATGAAATGCCATGCAATACATACCTTGTTTGCTGTTGGTGGTCCCAAACAGGACTGTATGCATTTTCTATCAGATGAGTTGTTATAGGAGTGGGACTGACTGGTGTAGCATATGACACATAGCAACTAGGTTTGACACCAGTTTGCTCTGTCAAAGGACAGCCTTTTTAAAAAAAAAGCATCATGATACTAAATGGTGCAGTGGAACAGATAAAATGAACCTGAATAACAAATTACAGTGTTATAGAATTAAATGCCAACATTGCAACATCAAAATGCAAATTTGTACTTAATTCTTTATCAAACAACTACCAATGAAGCAAACAAAAAATAAATTGCTATCTTCATCTGCAGAGGGAAAACAAACTAATGCTGAATCCGAGATAACAAGGTGTAGAGCTGGATGTACACAGCAGGCCAAGCAGCATCAGAGGAGCAGGAAAGCTTTCGTTTCGGGCCTAGACCCTTCTTCAAAAATGGGGGAGGGGAAGGGGATTCTGAAATAAATAGGGAGAGATGGGGAGGCAGATAGAAGATGGATAAAGGAGAAGATAGGTGGAGAGGAGACAGACAGGTCAAAGAGGCGGGGGTGGAGCCAGTAAAAGTGAGGAGTTAGGGAGGGGATAGGTCAGTCCAGGGAGGACAGGCAAGTCAAGGGGACGGGATGAGGCTAGTAGGTAGGAGATGGGGGTGGGGCTTGAGGTGGGACGAGGGGATAGGTGGGAGGAAGGACAGGTTAGGGAGGTGGGGACAAGCTGGGCTGGTTTTGGGATGCTGTAGGGGGAGGGAAGATTTTGAAGCTTGTGAAGTCCACATTGATACCATTGGGCTGCAGGGTTCCCAAGCGAAATTTGAGGTGCTGTTCCTGCAACCTTTGGGTGGCATTGTTGTGGCACTGCAGGAGGCCCAGCATGGACATGTAGTCCAAGGAGTGGGAGGGGGAGTTAAAATGGTTCGCGACTGGGAGGTGCAGTTATTTGTTGCGAACCAAGCGTAGGTGTTCCACAAAGCGGTCCCCAAGCCTCCAGTGCCCTTCTTCAGAATAGGCAGACCACACCCAGAGTATTGTATGCAGTTTTGGTCTCCTTATGAGAGAAAGGATGTGCTGGTTCTGGAAGGTTTACCATGCTGATTCATGTGATGGCAGGACTGATGTATGTAGAGAAACTGGATCAGTTAAGACTTATATCCACTGGAGATTATCTAGAAAAATGAGGAGGATTTCATGGAAACCTATTAACTTCTAACAGGACGAGACAAGGTAAACTGATATTCCTGATGACTAGGGAGTCCAGAACCAGGGTTCACAGTTTAAAGACAGAGAATGAGGAGAAATTTCTTCACCCACAGAGTGGTGAGCCTGAGGAATTTGCTGCCACTGAAAGCAAAATATTGATATTTTTTGAGAGAAAGAGTTAGATATACTTCTTTGGGCTGAAGAGATCAAAGGATATGGGGAGCAAGGAAGAACAGGGTACTGAGTTGGACGATCTGCCATGATCATATTGAATAGTGGAGCCAGTTCAAAGGGCTGAGTGGCCTACTCCATTCCTATTTTCTATGTTTCGATGTTTCACACTGTGGTGAAAATTTGCATTTCAAAGTGAACAACATACTTTTGTTTGGTGAGACCAAATTCTGGATTTCAAATTGCTGTAGTCTTTTGCTATGCTTCCTTAAAAATGCACTATAACACTGAAAACAGACTCTGACGTGAGCAATTAGCAGTGTGTAACAAAAATGAAATAATCAAAGTTTCAAGTTTATCTGCCCTCAATAAGTTACACTGGATGCATCTGAAACCAAACTAAAAGGAGATTTTTCACAGAGATTCATGGTGCAAATCAAGAATTTGACCTGTGAATTATGGATGAAGGCAGCAATTTGGCCAATCTTAGTTCCACCAAGCAGAAAGATTCTAGTTTCCTTCCAACATCCATCATCCTCCCCCCGGCTGCCACTGCAGCCTCCAATCGTTTCCAACACAATTCCATCGCCCCATCTATACTTTCCACGCACAGGAAACTTACTGAGCAGTCAAAATTCACCTTTTACTGTTTTGAACCAGGGGCCTGCTTGTCTTATTGTCAATTTTATTAATCCTACACAACATGCGATGTTGTCAGATAGGCCAGAATTTGTTGTTCAAGTCAAAATGCCTCTGAGGTGGTTGTGAGTGGCCCTCTTCAATTACTACTGTCGACGTTTTGTAAGTGCTGTTAGGAAGGGAGCTCCAGGATTTTTCATTTTATTTATTGCAGGATGTGGACATCACTGGCTAGGTCAGCATTTATTGCCTGTCCCTAATTGTTAGGAGGCAACCACATTACTCTGGATCCGGAGTCATGTGTAGGCCAGGCCAGGTCAGGATGGTAGCTTCCTTTCCTAAAATACATTAGTGAACCAGATGGGTTATTCCCAAAAATCCATAATAGTTTCATGGTCACCATTAGACTCTTAATTCCAGATTTTTCTTTGATTCAATTCAAATTCCACCATCTGTCACAGTGGGAATCAAACCCAGGTGCCTAGAACATTGGAGATAACAAGGTGTACAGCTGGATGAACACAGCAGGCCAAGCAGCACCAGAGGAGCAGG